TTTCTAAATACATCGGGGAAAAAATTCAACATAATTTGATAGTAATTTATTCATTTCTTACTAAAAAAAATAGCAGTTGACAGGAATGCTTTTTTTTGCAATTACTTTGTGCTACATTGTTTATCACTATAAAATTTACCTCAGAATATACACAGTTTATACATTTTACACATATAATATGGCATTATCTTATAATTATACATTATACATGTAATATTTACAAGTTATATTACAACACTGGACATACGTATCACTTTTGCTGCGTTCTCTGTTTGGCACCGGCCGCAGTCTTCGCGCCGGGCCGGGTCTTGGCGGCCTTGGCGGCCTTGGCGGCCTTGGCAGCGTCCTTCGCTGCCTTGCGCCTAGCTAGATCTTCCTCGTAAGCCGTCGCGGCGGCGTCAATGTCAGGAGGATCCCGGCAGCGCAACCCTTTCTTCGCACGCCGCAGGACCCGCTCCACAAGGACACAATCCATATAGAATTTTTTGAGTTTTGGTAGGATTGTATCCCGCCACTCCTCTCTTTCTCTTTGGATTCTTTCCCAGAAAGTAAGTCCGTTGCTGTATACTACCAGGATACAGTACTCCCTGTTAGTGATGGCAAGTTGCCCCTGCACCTGGTAGTAATACTTGTGCGTGCGGATCAGCTGCAAAGCGCCCTTCTCATTCAATTCGAGGCAGAACCCAGACGGCCTCTCCTGGCCCTTAGCTCGAGCCGCCTCATGAAATGACATGCCCTTGAGCGTGGGGGGGTAGATTGTCTTCACCTCGATAAGCCCCGTGGTGCCCAGAAGGCGGTCAGGAGAGGCGCCTAGGTATGGCCACTTCGCATTGATGTGAAGACCTGTGTGCTGGATCGCCTCGGCCCCCTTGTTATACAATTTGTCATAAAACTCCCCCGGCCAAAGCCTCATTATTTATGCCATATTGGATGGCCTTCCGTTTGGACAGGTCGGGGCCGCCATACACGATGTCATACACCAGGGCATGGCAACGGGTCGAGGGTCTGCGCCTCACGACACTGCCAAACTTAGAGGCCGTAAGGAGACCGCGGCGAGCCAGCTTCCACGCTTTGCACTTGTGCTGATCAAGGGTTGCGAGCCGCAATGCCTCAATCTTGTCGTCAGTGTTTACCTTTGTCTTCATGTCAGTTAGTATCGTCTTGCACTCCTTCTGAAGGTCTTCCTCGGACGGTTCGCTCCCTGTAAGCGGCTCCTGCACGGGGCTCCCCGGCTCTGGAGCTGCAGCATCAGGCCCGTAGAACTTGTCGGCGCGGCCACCGCGGCGCAGCTTCCTCGGCCCCGTGCCCGCGGCCTTGTGGGCGCGGGCCACACTGAGCTTGCGCGCGCAGTGCCGCGTCCGCTTCGCGCTAAGGTGCTCTACACGCTCGCCGGGGTCCTCCTGCAGGTGCCGCTTCAAGGGACTCGCGAACCACCCGGGGCCCTTGGTGTGAGCTATCGTCGCCCCATTGGCACGATACGTGTAGCTCCCACCCTTCCAATTTGCAACGCGCTTGCCGCCGTTCAACTTGGCAAGGAGGCTCATGAACCTCTCGGCCTGATTAGTCGTGTCGTCATAAACAAGAGAATCAGCGAGGCCTATCATCTTGTTTATGTACCTAAGAATCTCATCCAAGAGGCCAAATTGCTCGATGTCCGCCACGAGGTCGGCCTCCTCTGAGTCCTTGCGGTTGCAGAAGGAGCCGCAGTCGTCGTGACGGCCAAAGACGTGGTAAGGGGCGTTAGCAAGCTCTCGGCGAAGGCCGGCTACGTCGCCGCTCTGCGCCGAGAGCTTGATGGCCACCCGCACGCCTTTGACCAGGCGTTCAAGGCGTTGCATTTTGGAGTCAGGGTCCACCTCCTTCAGGAGTTTGCGGGCCGCGGAGGGAATGTCCTTCCGAGTAAGAAGGGAGTGCAGGTGGTCACTGAACCGCACCACAACATGATTGGCACACTCGATTTTCTCCGTTTCGGGGCCATAGTCAGCCCTTGCCCTTATCTGCTTGAATGTATTGGAGTCCCCGTCTCCAATGTAGTTGCGATAAATCAGCTTATGCCGCTCCTTGCTCTCGCAGAAGGCTTCCACGATAGTGTCCTGCTCCATCGATGTTGGAGTTCCCTTGTAGTTCATGAAGCAGGCATGCTTTTTCGGCTGGACCCCGGCACGCTTCGCGAGGCTGCAGCAGGAGCAGTAAGTGTTGCGAACTCCCACAAACAAAATTTTGTGAGACAGTGCGCCGATCACCACTCCCACCCCAGCCGGCGAATTCATACCATGACCCTTGTAAGAACGCTTTCCCCAGCCCGCGTCGCCGATCACAGTCGTATACATGAGTTCAGTTTCGTTCCCATCGGAATCTAGAACGACCTGCCCGGCTGCCTTAGCGAGCTCATACTCCGACTCGCCGTTCTTAGTTATCATGTCATCGACGTAATCCATCCAGAACTGCGCGGAAGCAAAGAAAAGAAAAAAACGAATAAGATAACAATAAAAAATGACCCGCGTGTGCACCGGCTGGCACCGTAGCAGACTGATTCCGAGAGTCACTTTCGTCACTCTCTCTCGCACTTTTGGGGATCGACCGAGTGTGTATGTGTGAGTGTTGCGTGTGAGAGTGGAAGAGAGTGAGAGAGAGAGAGAGAGAGAGTGAGAGAGAGAGAGAGAGAGAGAGAGAGAGAGAGAGAGTGTGTTAGCAATAAAATGATCACGCGTAATTAATCCAAGCACGACACTAGCCGTAGGCAGAGCCGCGCCGCGCCACAGTCGCGCCCTCAGGGTAGGCAACCCGTCTCACGCGGCCGACCGCACCGGGCCACCGAGCATCACGGCGTCGGGCCGAACGCCCCGCGCAGTCCCCTTGGCGCACCCTGCGTGAGTTCCCTTTACGGCCAGCAGGGATGCCAGGCCAGGGCTGGCACGATAACTTCGAACGGAGACAGCCTCGACTCGCGGAGACGGCCCCTCGACCGCGCTGCGTTCGGGCGTGAGAGCGCGGTGGCAGCGCGATGTAAGACAAAAAAAGGCGACAAGCAATCGTTTTAGGCGTCCTGGCGGGACGGTGATAAGACGTCATAAAGACGCTTGTCAGCGTGGCATCGCGGGTGCGACTGTGACATCATTACGACTTGCAGGCGGCCGGGTCAGGCCCAGTATCATGAGAAAGCCAGTGCACTCCGAGGGGGAGACGCGAAAGGGTTGCAGCCGCAAGGCCTCCACAAACAAAGCGGGCCCCAAAACGGCATGCAGGTGGAGGACGGGCCATGTGGCCCGAGCCGGGCCCCGAGGGCCTAAAGGGGTGACGTCGGCTGCAGGTCGTAAAGTGCGCCGATACTTGTCAGCCGTCGTGTTCTCTCGCAGTGCAGTGTCGTGTCTTGGCGAGAGAGAGAGAGAGAGAGACAGGTGGCACGCTCATTTCTTTCATTTTTTTGGCTCTAATGCGCGGCTTGTTCGGCCGCACATCTGGAAGCCGACGCGCCGTGGAGTCAAAGGTGAAAGTGCCCTCCCACGTGATAAGCGCTGGCGCGGCGGGACTCGAAAATCTAAATAGTGTGATTCCGAGCGTCGCCGCGTGGTCCGGGCGACAACGAGAGTGGAGTCGGGAAGCGAGGAACTGGTGACCCATGACCTGGCGACTCCAGCTGCATCAGCCTTGCGCCCCCCTGCCCCAGCGCAAAGAGGAGGGGCAGGGAGGCGGGGACGAACGAAAGACCGTCTTAGCAGAGGGGCGTCAGGCGGGTGCATTTTTTTTAATTTATTCACGCGTTCCCCCTCCCCGTCGCCAGAGTGCCCTCCTCTGATTCGAGGAGAGGGGCTTGACGCTGCTCGGCCCGGCTCTGTGGGAACCATCTGAGCTGCACGTGTTCGGGTGCATCATGGCGGCCCCCGCGCGATAAAACAAAATGGGGGCGGGGGAGCGCGCCGGCCTCCGAGGGGGCTGATAGGCCCGAAGCGCAGGACGACATCTTGGACGCATAAATTTGGGGAAGGGGAGGGCAAGAGGTCACCGCGGCCCTGTCATCCTTGCTGCCGAGCAAGTGCGATCACGCGGTATCACTGTTTTTCTTGATCTATTTACGACATCCGGCCCGCCGCTGCGCGGCGGAGCCACCGCGGGAAAATTTGGACCGCCCTCCCCCTCGCTTCACCCCCGAAGCGTTAGATATAAGCCCCTGCACGGCGACAGAGCGTCACTTCTCTCCGGCGCCCCGAGCAGCTCACGTCGTGACTCCCGGGACCCTCCCCTGGCGTTCCTGCGGCAATTCCTACAGCATTTCCAAACGCTGACCTCACCATTTACTGGCCATTCAGAAATGGTCTTGATTGGCGTACGCACCGTTTCTACACCACAAGTGTGAACATTTCAGCATTCTATAAACGGTGTGCAGACCATTTGTTAGCATTTCGACAGCGTTCCTACACCGATCGTGACCATTCGTAAGCCGAACCAAAATGCGCTGCGCTCGGCGTCCACACCATTGCTACACCGTTCCTACACCGATCATGACCATTTGTAAGCCAACCCAAAAAGAACTGCATGCAACGTCCACACCGTTGCTACACCGTTCCTACGCCATTCCTACACCGTTCCCTCGCAGTTCTCAGAGCGATCAAGAGCCGCCCCCGGTGGGAGTTGAACCCACGCCCTGGTGGGCCGAGAGCGCGCACGCTACCCCGAACCCACCAAGCTTCCTTGCGACTGCTGGTCCATATGGCTCTCTTCAAGCACTGCGGGAGCTAGCGCTGTGGCCATTTCCAAAATGCTGTGGAAACGCTCTGGAAACGGTCACGAGGCCTTCGCATCCACGCCGTTCCGTCACCATTCCTTCACCGTTCCTAGCCCATTCCTCACCGATCGCACACCGTTCGTGAAATGACCTGCAGACCAATGTCTCACAATTCCATCAGCATTTGAACATTGGCATGCACAACATTGTTCCAGCGTTCTTTCAACGATCTGACTAAAGCGTTCCTTCGCCATTTGGCAATTGCTCTGGAATCGGCGTACAGACCATTTACTGCCGTTTGTAGCCCTTTCCGACTGTCACGGTTTCTACACCATTCCAAAATGGCCTGCGAATGCCGAGAATGGTGTAGAAACGCGTCGAATGCTCAAAGAACGGTCTCTACACCATTCCTAGCCCTGCCAGGAACACCAGGGTCTCAGTGTGAATGTGTGGCAGTGTAGTGGTGCGCTTGGCCATCCTGGCCTTGGTGTGTTCGACCATTATTATTGTAACCAGTACCTTGGGGCTGCCTCAGGTGTTGACAGATGCTCTTAGAGATCTGTTGAGGCAGCATTCCAAACCTGTCTAAATTTGTGTGAACCCCTCAAACCCCTGGTGTTGTGTTGAAAGCCAAGATGGGTGAGTAAGGGTCAATTTATTTATGTACTTGTAAGCCAGGGAAGTGTATTGTCAGTGTTACCGGTGTCTCATTGCCCTGTGTGAACTTGTAAAATGTTTTCTCTCCCTCCGTGTCATGTGGCGATTGTATTTGTTTAGGTTAAGTGTGATCCTGTTGTATTTGATTGAATTATTGCGGACAGTGCTGAGTTGTCTTGGTCTGAAGTGTTCTGTACCCGAAGTAATAATTTGTATTCTTTGAAATGTGTCAGCCATGTCTAACCAACAATAATAACTTGTATTCTTGGAAAAGTGTCAGCCCTGTCTAATCAACAATAAAAGGATCAATCAAATTTTGATCTTTCTCTCTCAATTAATCCTTTTCTTAGTTATTAGATTGGTTTGGCCGGGGAAGGTGGGGATCTGAGAATTGCCTACCCATCAGGGGTACGTGCAGCCTACGCTTTTCATTCATTCAAGCCGCAGAATCAACTGACCAGTATCAGAGCTGAGTCACCTTCACTGGGAAATTTCAATTCAGTTAAATATTCACCCGGAAAACAATCTCGTAACAAATGGCGCAGTCGGTAGGACGTTAATTAGATCCCCAAGTGTTAATGTTGAAAATTCAAAATTTTTCAGAGAGAGATAATCAAGTGTTTGAGTGTGACTTTGTTTGTTGACTTAAATCCAGGTTTACAATGGCGGATCAGCCGGATGTGCGATTCACTCCTTCAGTGCTCATTCAGAGCATTGAGAATTTTTCTGCTGGCGACACTCGTAAGTTGAAGAATTTCTTGCAATCCATTGAACATGCC